TTCGACTGGAGCTGGTGCTGCTGAGGGTGTTGGCGCTGAGACTACCACTGGCGGTCCTGCTGGGGGTGCTCCTGGTGTTGCTCGAGGTTCTGGAGCTACTGGAGGTGCTGCTGGAGCGGGTGCTCCTGCTGGGGGTACTGGTGCTGTCCCTGCTGTTTCTGGCGTAGCTACGCGGCCTCGACCGTACTTCGTTCCACTCCTGCAGCAGGTTCTTGGTCTTCCGCCCTCTCCTGGTCCTCCTCCTCTCTTGGAGGGTCTACAGCCTGTCCCGTCGCGGTCACTGCTACAGCCTACCTCCCCTTTGCCTGCTCCTTCTCCCTACACTGGTCCTACTGGAGGTCTTACTGAGCGTCGTGAGCCTGCGTCTCGCCCTGCGTCGCCTGTCCGTGCTGCTCGCGCTAGTGGTCGTGGTTCGCGTCAGCGTCCTCCTCCTGTCCCTGGCACGCACAGGATGTCTCTGCGTCCGTCTACTGCTCCTCTGCGTGCCCCTTTGCCTTCTCCTCCTGAGTCCTCTCTTCCTGCTCTTCCCGACCCTGCGTCGGACTCTCTTCGTGCTGCCAGTCCTACTGTCACGCGTCTCCTTGCTACTGTCGTCACTGACCCTTCCTTCGAGTCTACTGCTGCGTCTGCCCTAGTTACTGAGCTCGTCGACTTTGCTGCTCGCTGTCGCCTAGACTACGCTGCTAGTCTTGTCGCTGAGTCTGGGTCTGCCTGTCCTCCGTCAGTCGGGGGTGAGTGTGCCCTTGGCACGGACGTCCTTGAGGACAGGCAGGAGGAGTTCCAGTGTCTGGCAGCTGCTTCACCTCATCTCGTGTCCGTACTGCTTACCCCTGAGGGAGACCCGGATGCACTTGACATCCCGACTCCGCGCTCTTACGCGGAGGCGATAGAGGGTCCCTACTCCTCTCAGTGGCAGGCAGCTATGGATGCAGAGATGGCTTCCTGGAAGTCCACAGGCACCTACGTTGACGCTGTCCCCCCTCTTGGGGCGAACATCGTCAGTGGCATGTGGATCTTCAGGGTGAAGCGGCCGCCGGGTTCTCCGCCTGTCTTCAAGGCACGTTACGTGGCTCGTGGCTTCAGTCAGCGACAGGGAGTTGACTACTTTCAGACCTTCTCCCCCACCCCGAAGATGACCACTCTTCGGGTGCTGCTACACGTTGCTGCTCACCGTGACTACGAGCTGCACTCTCTCGACTTCAGCACTGCTTTCTTGCAGGGCAGCCTGCACGAGGAGATCTGGCTGCGCCGCCCACTTGGCTTCACTGGGTCTTTCCCTCCTGGTACCCAGTGGAGTCTCCGGCGTCCAGTCTACGGTCTCCGCCAGGCGCCACGTGAGTGGCACGACACACTGAGGACTACGCTTGCGGCTCTTGGGTTTGCTCCTTCTACTGCCGACCCGTCGCTGTTTCTACGCACCGACACCTCTCTGCCGCCGTTCTACATCCTCGTGTACGTCGACGACTTGGTCTTTGCCACAGCTGACACTGCTGGACTCGCCCACGTGAAGTCCGAGCTGCAGAAGAGACACACGTGCACAGACCTGGGTGAACTGCGCAGCTACCTTGGCTTGCAGATCACCCGGGACAGAGCACGCCGCACCATTACCCTGACTCAGTCACACATGGTGCAGCAGGTCCTTCAGCGCTTCGGCTTCACGTACTCCTCGCCTCAGGCCACTCCTCTGCCTACTCGCCACTCACTCTCAGCTCTGCCTTCGGATGAGTCCGTAGAGTCGAGTGGCCCGTATCCAGAGCTTGTTGGCTGCCTCATGTACCTGATGACCTGCACACGACCTGACCTTGCATACCCTCTTAGCATTCTTGCACGCTATGTTGCTCCTGGGAGACACCGACCAGAGCACATGGCTGCAGCGAAGAGGGTGTTGCGATACTTGTGCAGTACGTCGGGCATGGGACTAGTGCTTGGAGGGCGGAGTCCAGTGGTCCTCACTGGGCACGCGGACGCTTCTTGGGCTGACGACCAGGCTACGCAGCGGTCGTCGCAGGGTTACACCTTCAGTCTTGGTTCCGGCTCTGTCTCGTGGCGAGCTACTCGCTCGTCCTCTGTTCTCGGCTCCAGTTGTGAGGCTGAGATCTACGCCGGGGCCATGGCTGCACAGGAGCTTCGCTGGCTCACCTACCTGCTGACTGACCTTGGAGAGCCGCCTCGTTCTCCTCCAGTGCTGTACGTAGACAACAAGGCCATGCTGGCCTTGTGTCGAGAGCAGCGCTTGGAGCACAGAACGAAGCACATTGCTCTCCGTTACTTTCTTGCTCGTGAGCTGCAGCAGCGTGGTCAGTTGCGACTTGCGTACGTGGCCTCTCAGGCCAACACTGCTGATGTGTTCACCAAGGCACTTGCGCCTTGTGACCATCAGCGCTTCTGCACTCAGCTGGGTCTTGTACCTGTCTTGCCTCACTTGCTCTCCTCTTGACCTTACTTGTACTGTCACATATATATACCTGCTCTTGCTTGTCTAGCTCTATATATATATGTGTACTCCTGCATGTGAACTGGCCTTGTGGCCTTGTCGTTGTGCTCGGACTGTGTGGTGACGTTGTGATCCACCCTGAGCTTGCTCTGCTTTGCTTGACTGGTCTTGTGACCCCTTGTTCTCCCCCACTTTGCCTATGGGGGTGTGTCAGAACATTATATAGCTTATGCTGTTGTGTAGGCTATAGTGGGGTATCCCATAGGGGGTACAACCCAATTAGGGTTTTCTATATGTACTCACCTCATTCATAGTTCATTGATCCTCGTTCTTCATTCTTCTCACTTGACAAGTTCTCCAAGGTTCTAAAATGGTTGATATTTTTGCTTAGCAATTATTGGTCGTACAATATAGGGTGACACGATAGTTTATAGGAGACAAAAAGTGCGCGTGTCCAGACGGTGTGTTGCAGGTCGTGCTAACCCACTCCATCGCTCTGCCCTGGTGTGCGTCGGCACAAGCCAGTGCTTACGGAATTTACGCTCCGCGTACAACCGCAACTCTCGGGCGTGCACGTTCGGTCGATTTTATCGACGGCAAGGCTGTCTCGCATCGCCTTCGGCTTTTTCATGCCTGAACTGCACCCAAACTCGCATTCCAAATGTTCCTGCCTCGCTAGGTTTGCTTGCTATATAATCATGTGTCCATTTTATAGCGAGTCCATATTGTCACAGCCTAGTTTTTCTTTATGCATTGCAACTTTCTTGAACAACCTATAACAACAACAGAGACACGCTTGATGTGAATGATTGAGTCATTCCAGCCTTGTCAACAATGAGAGCAACTGTGCCGTTTGTGACGTGGCGTCGAGCCTTATTGGATGGCGAGGAAGCTCACCTTGTTACTGGCTCCTTCGCTTAGTTCTTTGAGAGTCTCCCGCGTCGAGTTTCACGCGCCCGCTCGCCTGCTCCACCAAGAAGCCTTTCTACCTGCGCACTCGTTGCAATTCACCGTTTTTCACCGTACGAAACGTACAAGAAACGTACAATGTGCGGAGGTAGTTCGCGCAAACACACACCCCAAGCACTGGCGGATCCGTCTCCCGCCCTCCCTATCCGCCCTATTCTGTAGACGTGTAGGGCCAGTGAACGAATCTCGAGGTGTGGGTGACTGAAATGATTGAAACGAGGAAACCGATCAACTAGTTACTGTTACTGTACCACGATATTGTAATCCACTTATGCTGAATTCTCGACAGGCTGCGAATTCGATTCCTTAGCTAATCTGAGTTGCTCCTTCGTTACACCCCTGCAACGACGACTTACTTCTTAGCCAAGCTTCCCGCCGCTATCTCAAACGAGGGGTGGGTCTGTCGATTTACGCGGGTCTCTCGCCCGTTCTCGGTGACTCGCTGCGAGCGGCTAGTTACGGCCACGGAGAGGCTGATAAACTCCACGCTTGGAGTAGCTTTCCAGGCTCGTTGCGCACGTTCCCTCTCGATACACCAGTTATCATATAGCTCCTGTAGCAGATGTCCTAACCCACTTACGTCAGCCCCTGCCACATACTGACTGTTCCAACCTCCTCACTATCAAAAAAAATTATTTCGTTTTTTAATCGAAAAATCAGCTCAGACTCCACAGCCCGCGCAGATGCCGCTGCTGTACACAATCGTGTCGCGGGGAACTACCGTGTTGGCGGAATTCAGGTGATGCCTTGCCACTCCGTGATTGCCTCCTCACTGTCAGTTCAGTCGCGTATTGTTAGCTACCATCCTGCATGACACGTGTCGTTCTCAGAGACGCTAGCACTCTTTTGTGCCGTACTATGAAGCGGGTTCGTTCTGCCTCATCCCATTCTGCCTTCCAGCGCTGCCGTATCTGATGTTCAGCCTTTCGCTTCATGCCCTATCTTCTGTTCCACCACATGCATACCGCCTCCTGACCTCGTCATCTCTCCCATCATTATTCCACATCATCTCTCCCATATCTCTCCTATCACCCCTCATATCATCTCACCCATCATCTCCCACCTCATCTCTCTCCCCTCATCTCTCCCACCATCTCCCACCATCTCCCACCATCTCTCGCATCATCCTCCCCACCCCCTTGTTCCTGTCTTTCACTCGCCGTGCCATGCGATCTCCATCTTGTGTAACTCTCTTCCGTTTGTCCCTCCCGTCTATACCAACCCTCTTCCATGTCTCATCCTCCTACGCGTCCTGCTTGCATCTACGGCCTCAAGTCTGTTGACTCCCACAGTCATCTCCCCCCCTTCCTTTCACTCACTCTCCCTCCAGCCTGCCGCCACCACCACCACTCCTTACACACCTCCTCAAACATTTCCCCTTTGATTCTCAACCATATACCCACTAGTAGCAAATCCGCCGCACCCATCAACCAGCAAACACCCTCCACCTCCCCCATTCCCTTTGACAACCCGCCTGTCACCCCTCCTCTCCTCCCACCACCTTTCTCCCCGCCTCCCATCCACTCACCCATCCCCGCTCCCCACTCAACCCCTTTCACCCCTGTGCCTGCTGCACGCGCCACCCCCCTCCGTGCAGCGTGGCAGCGGGCAATGCGAACGCGGTGGCGAGGAGAATACTGGAGAAGCTGCCAGTGGACGGGGACGCGCGTGTGTCGTACACGCACGACCGCCACGTCTTCCACATCCTGCGCGCCGATGGGCTCGTCTTCCTCTGCATGGCCGATGCCCCCTTTGGACGTACGCTCCTCTGCTCTGCTCTTGTTCCTTGTGTCTCTTCCCGCTAAGTAGCCGTGGCCGGTGTAGTGGTCTGGGTAGTTGCGCGCTGATGGGCCCGTCTTCCTCTGCATGGCTGATGCCCCCTTTGGACGTACGCTCCCTTTGGAAGCTCCCTCTGGTTCCTTGTGTCTTCCCTCTAAGTAGCAGTGGCAGGGTGTAATGGTCCGGGCAGGCAGTTGTGCGGTGATAGGACGCGTTGGTACAAGCTTTTCATGCACCATCCATGCCACCATGCCCCCATGCCCCCATGCCCCCATGCCCCCATGCCCCCATGCCCCCATGCCCCCATGCCCCCATGCCCCCATGCCCCCATGCCCCCATGCCCCCATGCCCCCATGCCCCCATGCCCCCATGCCCCCATGCCACCATGCCCCCATGCCCCCATGCCCCCATGCCCCCATGCCCCCATGCCCCCATGCCCCCATGCCCCCATGCCCCCATGCCCCATGCCCCCATGCCCCCATGCCCCATGCCCCCATGCCCCATGCCCCATGCCCCCATGCCCCCATGCCCCCATGCCCCCATGCCCCCATGCCCCCATGCCCCCATGCCCCCATGCCCCCATGCCCCATGCCCCCATGCCCCCATGCCCCCATGCCCCCATGCCCCCATGCCCCCATGCCCCCATGCCCCATGCCCCCATGCCCCCATGCCCCATGCCCCCATGCCCCCATGCCCCCATGCCCCCATGCCCCCATGCCCCCATGCCCCCATGCCCCCATGCCCCCATGCCCCCATGCCCCCATGCCCCCATGCCCCGCCCCCATGCCCCCATGCCCCCATGCCCCCATGCCCCCATGCCCCCATGCCCCCATGCCCCCATGCCCCCATGCCCCCATGCCCCCATGCCCCCATGCCCCCATGCCCCCATGCCCCCATGCCCCATGCCCCCATGCCCCCCATGCCCCCATGCCCCCATGCCCCATGCCCCCATGCCCCCATGCCCCATGCCCCCATGCCCCCATGCCCCATGCCCCCATGCCCCCATGCCCCCATGCCATGCCCCCATGCCCCCATGCCCCCATGCCCCCATGCCCCCATGCCCCCATGCCCCCATGCCCCCATGCCCCCATGCCCCCATGCCCCCATGCCCCCATGCCCCCATGCCCCCATGCCCCCATGCCCCCATGCCCCCATGCCCCCATGCCCCCATGCCCCATGCCCCCATGCCCCCATGCCCCCATGCCCCCATGCCCCCATGCCCCCATGCCCCCATGCCCCCATGCCCCCATGCCCCCATGCCCCATGCCCCATGCCCCCATGCCCCCATGCCCCCATGCCCCCATGCCCCCATGCCCCCATGCCCCCATGCCCCCATGCCCCCATGCCCCCATGCCCCCATGCCCCCATGCCCCATGCCCCCATGCCCCCATGCCCCCATGCCCCCATGCCCCCATGCCCCCATGCCCCCATGCCCCCATGCCCCCATGCCCCCATGCCCCCATGCCCCCATGCCCCCATGCCCCCATGCCCCCATGCCCCCATGCCCCCATGCCCCCATGCCCCATGCCCCATGCCCCCATGCCCCATGCCCCATGCCCCATGCCCCCATGCCCCCATGCCCCCATGCCCCCATGCCCCCATGCCCCCATGCCCCCATGCCCCCATGCCCCCATGCCCCCATGCCCCCATGCCCCCATGCCCCCATGCCCCCATGCCCCCCATGCCCCCATGCCCCCATGCCCCCATGCCCCCATGCCCCCATGCCCCCATGCCCCATGCCCCCATGCCCCCATGCCCCCATGCCCCCATGCCCCCATGCCCCCATGCCCCCATGCCCCCATGCCCCCATGCCCCCATGCCCCCATGCCCCCATGCCCCCATGCCCCCATGCCCCCATGCCCCCATGCCCCCATGCCCCCATGCCCCCATGCCCCATGCCCCCATGCCCCCATGCCCCCATGCCCCCATGCCCCCATGCCCCCATGCCCCCATGCCCCCATGCCCCCATGCCCCCATGCCCCCATGCCCCCATGCCCCCATGCCCCCATGCCCCCATGCCCCATGCCCCCATGCCCCCATGCCCCCATGCCCCATGCCCCCATGCCCCCATGCCCCCATGCCCCCATGCCCCCATGCCCCCATGCCCCAGCCATGCCCCCATGCCCCCATGCCCCCATTGCTCTGATAGTGACGTGCACTCAGGAAGCTTGCACTCACGAGCGAGTAGCAGCGCTGCCCTTGTACGCGTCCCAACATGTAGCGGCACAGTTGCTGAAGATGCTTCAGTGCCTTTTCCATCATGCCATCTGATTCCATCCATCATACCATCTATTATTCCCTGCATGCATCGTTCCATCCATCTAGTCCCCTCTATTATATGACGTATCATTCCATCCACGTCCATCATTCCACCTATCATACCAACTACAATTCAATTCAATCTGTCATACCATCTATATATTCATCTCTCGTTCCATCTGCCACTGGTGTATCACAGCGTGCCCGTCTTCCCCAGTTTTTTCCCCAACCCTCCTTTTCCCTCCTTATGCCACTCTCGTCCATTGACCTCAAGAATTGCCCATGAAACGTCTTCCCTCGTCCATCAGTCGTCCCCAGCTTCCTGTTCTCTCCCTTGGTTTGCACCTGCAACAGCTTCATGCCGTGTTCTAGTCCACAGGGAAGGGAACACCAGCAGTAGTCTTGCTGCACATACCGCAAGCCCAGCCGCCCCATCCTCATCCTAAGCCTAAACCACTTTCTCAACACCCCTTCCCCCCCCCCCCTCCCCTCCCCTTTCCACTTCCCCCTCCTGTTTAAGTCCCGCACACACCACAGCCGCCCTCCCTCTCCTTCCCCCCTCCACTTCACTCCTTTTCCACTGCCCTGAATCGGCCCAGGGGCAAGTGCGGTTGAGGTGCCAATAGGTCATGCTGTGTCGGTTGATGCAGACATGCCTGCGTGAGACAACTCACCACGCTCACATACACCAATTCCGCCCCTCACCCCACCCTCTCTCACTCATCCACCCATTCCCATCCCTCCTCCTGCACCAACCACACCCCACCCCTTCAGCCCCCCACTTCGTCCCCCCCATATCCACTTCACTCTCAACCTGCATCACCCCCAGGGCGAGTGCCATTCGCATGCCTAGACGACATGCACATACGCTTCATGAAGAGAATTTTCGAGTCGAACCATAAAACTTCCTTCAATTCCCGCCTTCTCCACCTCCCTTTCCTTGAATCTCCCAGGGCGAGTGCCATTTGCATACCTGGAGGACGTGCACATGCGGTTCATGAAGACTTATGGGCGAGTGGCTGCCACAGCGCTCGCATACGCCATGAACGACGAGTTCTCGCGCGTGCTCGCCGCACAGATGGAGTTCTTCTCCTCCAACCCCAACGCTGATACCATTAGCCGCGTCAAGAATGAAATCAGCGAGGTCGGTTGGTGCTGTGCGTGCGCCTTGATCAGCCATGGCAAAATGAGCATTACTGCTATTTGTCCCTTGTTCCTGATTATACTCATCTCACCCAACACCTTTTTCATTCTGTCTATCAGTTTTCCCAAATTGTAATTGCCTTGTCATCCGTCACTCTTCCCCTGCACCACTGTTTTCATCGTATCCACTTGCCAAATCGCCCCGCGCCATCTTCTCTTGCTCCCACCACACCCACTGCATCTCTCATTCCCCAATCTCCTCCTAATCCCTCTGCCCACTGCCCATTCCGCCTCACCAGGTGAAGTCAGTGATGGTGGAGAACATAGAGATGGTGTTAACCCGTGGTAATCACATAGAGCTTCTTTTAAGGCGCCACAAAAGTCATCTCTCATTTCCCTATCTCCTCTTATTCTCTCTCCTCACTGCTCATGCTGCCGCACCAGGTGAAGTCAGTGATGGTGGAGAACATAGACATGGTGCTGGACCGCGGTAACCGCATAGAGCTGCTAGTGGACAAAACCGCCACCCTGCAGGACAACACGTTCCGCTTCAAGAAGCAGGCGCGCGCTCTCAAGCGAGCACTGTGGTGGAAAAACACCAAACTCATGTGCGTGCGTGTGGTTGGGAGGGAGGGAGGGATGGGCAAGAGGCGTGTGGGTGGGAGAAGATGGATGGGAGGTTGTGGGATGAGGAGGGGGTGTATGGCAATGGAGGGAGGGGAGGGCCAGACGAGATGCACCTTTGTTACACCCTGCCTCCCCCCACCCAGTGCCTTGCTCCTTACATTTCTTCCATGTTGCATCCATTTACCATCGATGTCCACCTGTATCTTATCAATTGAATAAGCATTTTGTCCTTCATTTTGCTGCTCCCGCTGCTGCTTCCAGGATTGCCATGAGTGGAGTCATTCTTCTTGCGCTGTACCTTTTCGTGGCCCTGTTTTGTGGGGGGCTATTTCTTCCGTCTTGCCATTCGTAATGGCGCTTTTTAACTGCAATCACTAAAATCTGTTATCGGAGCAGCAAATCACTCTACATGTATACGGTTATACAAACCAGTAACTGCTATGGCGTGTAAATTTCTTGCTTGATCTGTATTGTGTGTAAGTAGCGAACCAATGCTGTTGTGAGTCATGAAGGTGTTGAGCTGAGAAAAGCCCTTCGGATCTTTGCAGGGCTGAACTCTGAGTAGGACTTGTTGTAATTAGCGGAAGCTTAATGAGAAGTGTTTGAACCACCTTGCGCTGGTATGTGAGGGCAAAGTGAATTGATTAAAGCAAAGAGATACAAGATTATATAAGAGTACAAGGAATACGAAGAGATACGGTTCCAACTGTTTTACTGTTGCTGTTGCGGTTCGATACAGTGACGACTCGAGCAACTGCTCTGTAACGAGTCAGTTGTGTGTCCTTGCTGTCGCGCTGTACTTGTCAGGTCAAAGGTCGCTGACCTTTGACTTTCGCGTAACCTCCAGCAACTGCTCAACCTCCGAGGGTTGACTCGCCAGTGCTTCGATATGCTTCGCTTCGTTTCTGACTTGGTGTTTCGACACGACAGAGGCGCTTAGAGTTAATTGTTTCCAACACTCCCCTTCGCTTCTGGAGTGTCGCTGCTGGTGACGTGGCTCTGTCCAGTCAGCAGCATGCAGTACTCGAACTTCTGCTTTCCGAGCTTCTTGGTCAAGTAGTCGGCTGCCATCTCGGACGTGGGGCAGTATGACAGCTCGAGTCTCCCCTTCTCGATCTCGTCCTTCACGAAGAAGTATTGCAGGGCGATGTGTTTCGTCCTGTTTGCGAAGCCGTTCTTGTTGGCTATGCGAATGGCCGACTGGTTGTCGCAGAACAGGGTGAAGTTTGGTAACTGGGCTAGCTTGGCTTCCTCCAGGAGTTCGCGAAGGTACAGTCCTTCCTTGGTGGCTGAGCAGAGTGCGATATATTCTACCTCAGCTGAAGAGAGGGCGATTAATTCCTGCTTGCTCGACTGCCAGGAGATAGGCCCAATAGGCTCGAAGCGATAGATGTAGCCGGTGCGCGAGCGCCTGTTGTCAGAGTCGCCAGCGTGATCGGCGTCGATGTAGCCGATTAATTCAGGTGTCGAGGTTCCGTTCTTATGATAAGTCAGGCCGATCGTCGGAGTGCTAACGAGGTAGTGAAGAGCGCGGTCGAGTTCCGCCATGTGTTCGGCTTCAGGCCTTTTAAGGTAGGTGGCGAGTTGACTTGCAGAGTATGATAGGTTTGGGCGGCAGGTGACAGCTGCGAAGAGAAGGCAGCCTAGCTTTCTTTGGTAGTCGCGTATGCCGGCGGGTCTTAGCGGAGTGGATCCTTCCTTGTTGTTTCCTGCCGCGTAGCGATATTGTCAAACATATATATATATATATGTTAGTGTTATTGCTAGGATGTAGTGGGGTAGATAGTGTGGGGTATAACCCCTTAGGGTTTTCCTCTTGTACCAACTCTCTCGATACTCGAATTCACCCTTGCCTAAGTCTCGACATGGCATCTAGAGCACTAAGGTCTCTAGGACCTAAGAATAGGGCCCACCTTTAACTAAGCTACCTCACCTACGGCCTCACTGCCTGCCTGCCTGCCCTACCTGCTGCCCGCGCGCGCCTCGGCTGCTTGCGCGCGTCACCTTTTTTTTTTCGCGCGCGTCACTACTGCAGCCGCCTTAGGAGCTCGCGCGCGCCTCGGCCACTCAGTAGCCCGCTGTAGCGCCGCGCGCCGGCCCGCTCGCGCAGTCCGCGTCGAGCCCGAGTAGCCCGCCGCCGTGTGCGGCCCGCTTAGGCCCCGCGCGCCGCGTCTGTCGCCAGCGCGGCCCGCTACTGAGCCGCGCGCCGAGTCCGCCGCCCACGCAGCTCGCTGCTGTCCTGCGAGTCGCGTCGGCCGCCTGCGCGGCCCGCTGCTGCTGAGCCCGCTGCCTTAGGAGTGCGCGCGGCCTACAGCTGCCTAGCGCGCCGCCTCAGGAGCTCGCGTGCGGCCAGCTGCCCCTGGTGCAGCCGCCCCTGGACCCAGAGCAGCCGCCCCTGGCCCCTGAAGCAGCCGCCCCTGGAGCAGCCGCCCCTGGACCCAGAGCAGCCGCCCCTGGCCCCTGAAGCAGCCGCCCCTGGTGCAGCCGCCCCTGGACTCCGTGCAGCCGCCCCTGGACCCAGAGCAGCCGCCCCTGGACCCAGAGCAGCCGCCCCTGGCCCCTGCAGCAGCCGCCCCTGGAGCAGCCGCACCTGGACCCCGAGCAGCCGCCCCTGGAGCAGCCGCCCCTGGACCCAGAGCAGCCGCCCCTGGCCCCTGAAGCAGCCGCCCCTGGTGCAGCCGCCCCTGGACTCCGTGCAGCCGCCCCTGGACATAGAGCAGCCGCCCCTGGCCCCTGCAGCAGCCGCCCCTGGAGCAGCCACCCCTGGACCCAGAGCAGCCGCCCCTGGCCCCTGCAGCAGCCGCCCCTGGAGCAGCCGCACCTGGACCCCGAGCAGCTGCCTCTGGCCCCTGAAGCAGCCGCCCCTGGTGCAGCCGCCCCTGGACCCTCGAGCAACCGCCCCTGGACCCAGAGCAGCCGCCCCTGGCCCCTGCAGCAGCTGCCCCTGAGCAGCCGCCCCTGGACCCCGTGCAACCGCCCCTGGACCCGCGACGCCGCCCCTGGACCCCGTGCAGCCCCCCGCCGAGCACCGGCCCTACTCGCCCGTCGAGCGCCTGCTCTTCCCGCCACTGGTGAGCACCTGCCTTGTTTGCGCGCTGCCCGCCATCTGCCTGCCTGCCTGCCTGCCTGTCTGCCTGCCTGCCTGCCGCGCCTGCCCTTGTTGCTACTACTGCTACGGCTGCTGCTGGCGGTGGCCAGATGGAGCTCCAGCGACGTCCGCGTGAGTCCCTCACGCCCCAGCAACTTAGTGAGTGGTACGCTAGTTGGGGTTGTAGGGGTGGCCGCGCTGCTACTGCTGCTACTGCTGTTACTGCTGCTACTGTTGCTACTACTGCTACTGCTGCTACTGGCGGTGGCCAGATGCAGCTCCAGGGACGTCCGCGCGAGTCTCTCACGCCCCAGCAGCTTAGTGAGTGGTACGCTAGTTGGGGTTGTCGCGGTAGCCGTCGTAGCTATCGCCCTGGAGCTGGTCAGTTGGGAGCGTCTGGCAGTGGCCAGCTGCAGCTGCAGCGGCGTCCACGCGAGACACTAACGCCCCAGCAGCTTCACGAGTGGTACGCTCAGAGTAGAGGGTCTCTGAGTACCGTTCGCTGCCCGTACGTCATTCGCACAGGTGATCGAACTGGTCACGCTTGCGGGACACTTGGTCACACACAGTCCCGCTGCTTCGCCCGTCTGAGTGACGCTCGGCGTACCGAGTTTGGCGACGAGGCTGAGCTCCCCGACTGGGTGGAGCTGCTTGGGCAGAGGGTAGATATATTTGCTCTTGACTATGATGCTATTCTCACTGCCATGTATGCATTGCCTACTAGTGCTGACGGTGCCTGTTACCTGTGCGTACCGCCTGACCCAAGTATAGAGCCTGCCGCTCCAGGTGCTGGTGAGTCTGCTCTCTCTGGTACTGCGCCTGCTGAGGCCTTCTACACCTTCACACTTGACTCTGGTGCTTCTCGCTCCTTCTTTCGCGACAGCACCACCCTTACGCCGCTCAGTCGGCCGGTTCCAGTCTCCCTGGCAGACCCCTCTGTGGGTCCAGTCCGTGAGACTTCCTCCACTGTCTTCCCTTGTCCTGCTGTCCCGTCCGGCACACTGTCAGGTCTTTAACTTGGTGGCTGGTTCTGCGCTCCAGGACGCGGGTGTTCACCAGTTCACCCCTGCCTACGAGCGTGTGACACACTGCACGTGTGCTCAGACGGGTCGTCACCTGGCTACGTTCACTCGGCAGCCTGGGTCGGGCCTGTACACACTGACCACTGAGTCCCCTCAAGTAGCTGGGTCTGCGTCTGCGTCTGCGTCAGGTCAGTTGTCGGCCCCCTGCTCGTGTCGCGCCTTGTCGCACCAGACGGTCCTTTGGCACCACCGCCTTAATCACCCCTCGGTGCAGCGCCTTCGTAGCATGCACGGCCGTGTCCTTGTCTCTGGTCTTCCCAGGGTTCTCCCTCCCCTCCCACCCTCGCCTGCTCCTCCCTGTCTTCCCTATGTCGAGGGGCGGCAGCGCGCCGCTCCTCACTCCTCCTCGTTCCCTCCCACAGAGGCTCCCCTGCAGACTCTCCACCTGGACGTGTGGGGCCCAGCCCGCGTCCGTGGACAGGGCCACGAGCGGTACTTCCTGCTGGTCGTCGACGACTACACGCGTTACACCACGGTCTTCCCCTTGCGCACCAAGGGTGAGGTCCCTTGTGTTTTGATCCCTTGGATCCGCGCTGCTCGTCTCCAGCTCCGCGAGCGGTTCGGGACGGAGTTTCCCGTCCTGCGTCTGCACTCTGACAGAGGTGGTGAGTTTTCCTCCGACCTCTTGGCAGCCTTCTGTGAGGAGCACGGCATCACCCAGTCGTTCACGCTTCCGGCCTCTCCGCAGCAGAATGGGGTTGCTGAGCGCCGCATTGGCTTAGTCATGGAGTTCGCTCGTACCTCCATGATCCATGCGGCTGCCCCCCATTTTCTGTGACCGTTTGCGGTCCGGTACGCCGCGCATCAGATCAACCTCTGGCCCCGTGTCTCCTTGCCGGAGACTTCGCCCACACTGCTGTGGACGGGGTAGGTTGGCGATGCGTCGCGTTTCCGGGTCTGGGGTGCTCGTGCCTTTGTCCGCGATACCACCGCGGACAAGCTCTCCGCCCGCGCTGTTCCCTGTGTCTTCCTTGGCTTTGTCCCTGACGCGCCTGGTTGGCAGTTTTACCACCCCACCTCGCGCCGTGTTTTCCCCTCTCAGGACGTCACGTTCGACGAGTCGGTTCCCTTTTACCATCTCTTCCCCTACCGCACTGCCCCTCTCCCCCCCCCGCCGCTCTTCCTCGCTCCAGGTGCTCCCCAGGTAGACCCCCTCCCCACTCCCGGTCCTGCTCCTTCAGT